CTCGGCTGCTGGAGACGCAAGGTGCGCGACCACCTCCACACGCCGCAGGCGCCAGCTCTGCACCAGGTGACGGGCTGGGCACCAGGCCTAGAGTGGCTACACCTCCAGACTTCACGTGCAGGGCAGGAGCGAGGTGCCCCGCCAACAGGTCCCCCAAAGCTGGGAGGACAGGGCAAAGCCAGCCGGGCTTTTGCCTTGTGCCCGTAATTTAAGGGGAGGGCTCTGAACACTCAGTTATGAAGGTAAATAACATTTTTTGGTTTTTTTGGGGGGGCTGGCTCAGAATGCCTTCAGGGCACGTTTGGCTGGCTGGAGTTGTGGGGATGAACCACAGCAACCTGAGGCTGACTGCTTTGTTGAAGCAGCCACTTAAACAACTGAGCTAAGGGGCAGGCCCCGCTAAATAACATCTTAATACTGTATTTTAAGAAAATCTGTCAAAGACCCAGGAGAAATAAAATAATACCTTATGTAAAGGTAAGATCTGTGTTACTTAGCCTTCTGCCTCCGACCCGAGACGCTCCTGCCCAGAGCGACCTGAACATTCTCCAGGTGACCCAGAAGAACTAGGATGCTGTGATGTGGGCAGAGGAGATGGTGGCTTAGGCTCTAACAGGATGGGTTGACTGCCAGGTGACCCTCAAGGGACACGCATGGCACAGCTTTTCAAAGTCTCGGGGCTTGATTGGCCTAGTGCACATGCCTGTAATCCCGCCCTCGGAAGGCTGAGGCAGGAGGATTGCTTTGGGCTTGAGGCCAGCCTGGGCTACACCATGAGACTCTGTCTCAAACAAAAGTTTCCATGCCAGGCCCTGCCTGGGCCAGGCTGGGCACAGACCCTGGAGTGATGGCCTGGTGACCCAACAGTGGTGGCACGTGCAGCTGGAGAAAGGCCTGGAGGGACCTCAGGCCCAGGAAGGCTTTTTGGGCTTCTTCCAGAGAGCACTGGCAGGGCACGGAGGGTTGCAAGCAGCAGAATCACACGAATCAGCCCTGTTGTTGTTTAAATGTGTTTGGGACAGGGTCTCCCTACGCAGCTCAGACTCATAGTGATCCTCCTGTTTTCAGCCTCCCCACTGCTGGGATTACAGGCATGTGCCATCAGCTGGGTCTCGGTGGCCAGCTCAGCATGCGGGGGGTGGGGCCGGCCCAGCATGTGGTGCTGGGGATTGAGTTTTTTTTGTTTTTTTGCTCCAAATGCCCTCAGGGGTGGTTTGGCTGGCTGAAGTGTTGTGGGGATCGAACCACAGCAACCTGAGGCTGACAGCTTTGTGGAAGCAGCCACTTAAACAACTGAGCTAAGGCCAGGCCCCCTGGTGCTGGGGATTGAACCCGGGTCCCCGCACTTGCCTAAGCAGGTGCTTAATGCATGGAGCTATTTTGCCAGTCTGGTTTTTTAAAAAAAATTTTTAATTTTGCCAGTCTGAATTAGTCTTTTTTTTCTTAAATCACTCTGTCTGCTGGGTGGGCAGGGGTCCCAGGCACACAGCAGGGAAGTCCAGCCCGTGGGGTACAGGTTGGGATGAGGGCAGCACAAGGGGAAGGAAACAGGGCAGGGTTTGAGGCTGAGTGTCAGGGGCCGAAGAGGCAGCTACACACGCAGGGCTCTGTGTTGGCGCAGTGCCTGCAGGAGGGCTTCGCTGGCAGGACCGAGGACAGGAAGTGCAGCAGGAGTTGCCGTGGGCCGGGGATCTTGCAGTCCCCTCCCTGGAGGGGCACTCTTTCTCTGTGAGTGAGACCACTGGAGGTGGCATTGCCTAGGACAGGGACAATGGGGCAGGAGGGGCCTGGCCCTGCAGTGCTGCCTTGGGGGGCAGAGCAGGTAGGGGAGGAGATGCCTCTGGTCCCCAGGGTCACCGACTGGGCCGAGCTCACAGTACCTGCTGGAGACCCCAGGTCTGGACAGGTTGCTGGACTGGGTCGGGGACACAGGAGCCCGGTGGCCCTGGGCTGGCTGGCAGCTGCCTTCCCCCGCCTATTTACTTCCCATCCTTGTTCCTTCCTCACGCCCAGCCCCAGTGGGCGCAGCCTGCCTGGGCAGCTTGGTTTCTGGCTGTTGCTCACCGGTGTCTCCCAGTCCCCTGCAACCGGCCGGCCTGAGAGAGGGCCTTGGCCTCCTCAGCGGGCAGCTGTAGAACCGTCAGGGCCTCCCTGCTGCCCTGCAGGGACACAGAGGACTCCTGGGACAGGTGGGGGAGGTCCGGGCCAGTGGGGACCCTGGGCCTATGGGCTGTGGTGCAGTCCTCTGCCCCCGTTTGCTTCGGAGCCTCTTACTGCAGCTGAGCCGCCCACATTCTGCTAGTGCTGAACTGTGTCACATGGAAACACGGTGGCCCTGAAACACACTGCGTGTGGTAGCGAAGCTTATTTAACAGAGCCCTCCATTTCCTCACTTTCTCAGGGGTGAGTGCAGCATTTGCTCCAGCAGCGCATGAAGTGCTGTGAGGCGGGAGGCCACCGAGAGACGCACAGCATGGCGGAACCCGGGCTGCGGTGCTGAGGGAGGGGTGGGAGCGCCTCGCTTAGTCTCCACCTGCCTGCCTGTGCCCAGCAGTGCGCTCAGCCCTCATTTGCACCTCGCTGCGTACGCTGTTGTGTCCCTGTGCAGGGGCAGGCCCAGAAGCCCCTTCAGTGCTACACCCTCATGCCTCGCTTCCTTGATGGTCCCAGCCCGTGTTCTGCCATGTGCCTAGCTTGGGCTCACCTTTTTCACTGCTGCATAGTAGCCCACTAGCAAGACCTTAGCACAATTCGTTTGTGCATCTTACTTGGGGACATCTAGATTGTTTCTAACTATGATGATTTCAAGACTCACATAAATATTCTCATACATGCTGTCTTAGTCTCTTTCCTGTTGCTAAGACAAAGTACCCAAAGCTCACAACTTAAAGGAGAAGAGGCTCACTCTGGCCCACATTGTTGTGTATTCCGTGGCTGGCCAGTTCCAAGGAAGGAAGGGCAGGAGGAAGGGCTTGGTCACGTGGCTAGGGCTGGCAGGGTGAGGAGGAAGAGGGCTCTCTGGAGATGCGGCTGGGCACCACCCAAGGACATGCCCCAGACCCGACTCCTAAGCCCCATTTCCAAATGCAAGCCCAGTGTGGTGGCCCTCGTGGTCCAATCTTCTTCCAAAAGCCCCCTATGAGCACAGGAGGCCTTCAGGGAAACATCTAGATTAAAAAAAAAAATACCATGGGTCTGTTGGGAGCATATGCGCAGACTCCGTAGGAGACGTAGGAAAGTGTTTCTGTGTTGCTCTTTAGAAGCTATCTTTTAAATTCCTTCCAGATAGCTGATGATGAAATATAGCAGTCCAGTGCAAATTGATTTCATTGTGATCCTTAGTGTTTTAGGCCTAATGGAAAATATTGTTCCTTTTCATACTTATAAGTTACACACACACACACACACATACACACACTTGTAGGTGCTCATTTTACCCACACACCTGCAGGCAGGATCAGTGCTCAGAATGATTTGGTTTTATTTTGTTTTGGGACAGTCTCACTCTAATTTAATTTGGCCTTGAACTCACCATGTAGCCCAACCTGGCCTCAAACTCCTGCTGATCCTCCTGCCTCAGCCTCTTGAATGCTGGGATTACAGGTACACCCAACAGAACCATTAATTTTGAGTCGCTCCCCAGCTGTGCCCTCCTCCCATGTCCTTTAGGGTCTGGACCTTTCAAAGGGCAGTTACCCTGCGAGGTCAGTGGGCTGGTCAGTGAGAGGCACAGCTGTGTCCAGGGCTTCTGTTTTCCCGAGCCCACGGGCACTGGCGCCCCTCACCCTGGGTTACCAAGGACACAGACACAGCTGACAGCCGTTTCTACAAGGACTTCGTTTCTGTGTGCTTAGGGTGGAACTTGCTGCCCACAGCGCGTTTCATTTACTGTCAGCGCAGGCCGATCGCAGACCCGAGCCTCGATTTCTCACAGCTCTGGGGGCCAGAAGCCCACGGCCAAGGGGCGGCAGGTCTAGGGCTGGGTGGCGGCTTGCCGCCTTCAGGGCTCCCCTTCTCGTGTCCTCCTGGGCCGAGAGCAGAGTGCCTGGGTGTCTGCACCCCCTGACAGGACGCTGACCTCCTGTGTGGGGGGCTCCGTCCCTACACGCGGTCACTTCCCCGGGGTGGTGTCACCGTCCACACCCCGCCGCTCGGAGGCTACAGCACGGGGGCGGGTTGGGGCGCATACCTGGTTGGCAGCGACTCTTGACATACCCTGTTTTCTATTAGCTTTTGGTGCAAGCATTAGCGAAAGAGGAGACTTGTATTTATTTAATTAGAAACCTAGGTATTAAAATGATCAGCTGTTCAGTTTTCACTGTTGTCCTGGGTTGTTTCAAACAAATTCTACTTTGGTGCGTTTGGTTCAGTGAAATGATCGAGTGATCTGTATGAACTATCTGTTAATCCAGTTAGAATTATTTTTCTCTGAGTAAGCTATATTGTCTTTTAAAAACATTTTTTAACCGCATGCCGCACCGGCCCCACCCTTGGGTGCGCTGAACCAAGGATGGAGTCCAGGCGTGGTGGGGCATACCTGTAATCCCAGCCCTAGGGAGGCAGAAATTGGGAGGATCACTACAAGTTTGAGCTGTGTAGTGAGATCCTGCACAAAAAAACACATTTTTAAAAAATGTTTTATTTATTTGGTACAGGGTTTCGCTGCAAAGCTCTGACTCACAGTGATCCTCCTGTCTCAGCCTCCCCAGCACTGGGACTACAGGTGGGCGCCACCATGCCCGCTTTTGGTAGCCAGCTTGGTGAGGGGCGGCATGGCATGCAGTACCAGGGATTGAACCCGAGTCCTTGAGCTTGCCAGGCAGGCGCTTGGACAGCCAAGCTATCTCCCTGGCCCTGTATTGTCTTTTTGCAGGGTGTGCTTGGGTACACACAGCTGGTGATTAACCACAGTGGTGCCTTGTTGAAGGGCTAGTTATGTAATAAATCTTTTTCCAGCATGATTCAGAGACAGATCAGAACAAACTAGCCAGGACATATGGGAAATTTGACTTAATTATAAAAGACATTGTAAATTAGAACAACAGGTCTAAATGACTTTCACATTTGTACTTATTTACATATATTAACAATCAGAGATGAGAATAGGGCTTTTTAGCTGCACTAGGACTTGAAAATAGTTGTATAATCTTGTTTTTAGAATTCAGTTTATAGCAGTGAAATAGACCCCTCTATGATCTTTATTGAAATTTTATGCAAGATTCTCTATATAATTTTGGTTTCCAAATAGACAGATGAACCCTTTAAGAAAATTCACGTCTTCTTTACTGGGGTTTCACAGCTCCTGTGCTCTTTCGCTTCAGTGTTTTAGAGTTTACTTCACATCTCACGAAGACTTTCTCCTGTGCTGGGTGAAGTAGGTCGTCCTTGTTTTCCGAGCAGAATGTCATTCTGAAGAGAAAACACACCACAAACAGGCATTACGTTTGAGAGAGGACTGTTTATGCATAGTCAAATAGTACTCAGATTGTGTGTTGCTTGGGATGGATATTTTTGGATTAGACTCTTATGTTTGGAAATATCCTCCTAGCTTCCGAGAGAAACAAAAGCCGAGGTGACAGGGCCTGGCCAGGGCCCCGGGCTCTGCCCGGTGAGGTGCTGCACAGAGCTTGGTCTCCCAGTTCCCTCCCTCCCCCTTCAAGCTGGTCCTGGAGGATACAAGGCGACCGTTTGCCTCAGGGTAGACGCGCAGTCCCTTGATTCCTCCCAGAGGCAGAACTGGCCTAGGTCTCCTAGATAAGCTCTGGCTCCCATTCTTTTTAAGGTTCTGGGTGTGAGGCCCGTATGGGCCTTTCCTCAGCCAGTATGGCTTGTTCTTCCTCTGGTTTGCATCTGTAGCAGGATCCTTAGTAAATCAAACTTTAAAAAAAAAAATGTATTTAGGACAGGGTCTACAGGGTCTCACTCTATAGATCTGACTCCTAGTGATTCTTCTGTTTTCAGCCTCCCATGCGCTGGGATTACAGGCATCCACCACCACGCCCAGCCTCAATTGCCGCTCTCAGAGCGCCCTGGGGCGGGGCCGGCTCGGCAGGGGATAGAACCCCTGCCCTGTGCTTTAGTCCCCTGAGCTATCTGGCCGGCCCTCTAAATCAAACTTTTTAAAATGAAAAAGTCATATGAACAAGGTAGGGTTGCATTCTTTTTTTTTTTTTTGTCATTCAGTGTAACTTTATTTACTATTTATTGCACATAACTTGAGGTCTTTAATTTCTAACCACCCATAGGGTTGCATTCTTGAAAAATTCAAATGGTAGAGAAATATCTAACGCAGACATTAAAGACGGCCTCTGCCAACACCCCCGCGCCCCTCTGCTCCCTACGCCTGTGGCCTGGGTGGTGTCTCTGGGCCCACTTTTATCATTTACGCACATATCAATATTCACATGCAAGTGCAGCTGGAGAAGAGGCATGCCACTATACTGCTTGTATTTTCTACAATTTTTCCTTTTCGCCAATAAAGGGTGCTCAGAGACCTGTTCATGTAAGTACATTTAAACCTGCTGTGTTATTTCACCTGCTTATGGCATGCCATAGGGCATTCAGGGTTCTCCTGTATATATATATAATGTGGAACTGGGGATTGAACTCAGGCCCTTGCACTTGCCAGGCGAGTGCTCATTCTTCTGAGCCATCTCCCCGGCCCCCGTGTGCACATGCCGTGTGTGCATTTCAGCGAGCGCACAGGCACTCCAGCAGCACTGCAGACACACACGGGTAAAAGGTTGGGCCAGAGCATTATGTGTACTTGAAATAGGAGAACAGGAGTTCCAGGAGACCAAGGATGGTGCTTTCTCTGCACGCGGTTTATCTGGTGCCCATGGTGCTGCCCGGCATCAGTAGGTACTCAGTAAATTTTATTAGGCGAACAAGTTTCTCTGAAAAGCTCCTGTAATGAACCCCCCTCTTACCAACCTAGATACTGCCTCCTTCCGTTGCAGCCGAATGCATGGGTCATCAGCGAGAATTTCACTGCTTTCGGCTTTGCACGTACCTGGTTACTAGTGGCCAGTTCTCTAGGTCTTGCCACAGGGCCAACACCTTCTGCTCTGCCGCTTCCGGCCGCCCACGACCTCACTTACCCGGGACTGTGCCGACCGGCAAGGAGATCGTGTTGCCCTCACCCCGCCACTGAGGTGGTGGATGACTTAGCTTGCTGTTGCCTCATGCTTTTAAGAATAATTACGGATATGGCGTGAGCGTTGGCGTCTTGACTCTGCATTTTGGTTTGCAAAAGGCACCCAGCAACTGGTATGCATGACGATCTCCATCTTTCCTAAAGTCTCAGAGGGGTGAACCTGGGCTCAGGACGCGGTTCTGCCTGCCTGGACCTAGCCTGGCCCTGCGCTTGCGCAGTTGCTTCCCCCGACCATCCTTGCGCTGTGGCCGTGGACTCGCTGCCTCAGCCTACCTACCGAGGAGAGCTGCACTTGGCCACGGTCCCTGACCTCGGGTGATGCTCGCATACATGAAAGTCTGATGACCTGCCAGGGAGCTCGTTGTTAGTAAAGTTAATTTGTCTTGTTTTCCTAATTAGGTCTTGGAACTTTTGTATCCTGAGGCACAACTCAAAAATTTTTTGGGGGGTGCCCTTCAGTGGCACCAGTACTGTGTGGCCACAGAGAAGGCACTTTGATGTATACCACTTGGGGGCTATGGGTCTCTCCTAGATGCAGCCTGCTGCGCCCCAGGAAGGGCGATGCACCCACCCTTTTGCTCGCAGTGCCGCTGGATTTGTCTGCGGAAACTCGGCTGGAGGGCCTGGCCAATAGGAGCAGCCCCGCCGTAAACAGCGTGACGGCAAGGAATGGGCCACAGTTCGGCCGAACCTAGGCCACAGGGGCTGAGCGTGACTCCAGTGCCTGGGCCCCAGGGCCTGCTCCCCTCCCTCTTCTCCTGTCTCAGGCTGGGGCTGTGCACAGCGTCCCGGGCAGCCTTGCGGTCTTCAAGGCCGCTCTCAGGGCGAGGCGCACCGGCCCTGCTGGGGAAGCCAGCAGGGAGCTGCCACCTGGAAGAGCCGGGTGCTGTGGGCTCAGATTGGTCACAGGGAGAGCTCTGCCGGCGGACCGCGGAACACGCTCTCAGGCACTGCCAGGATCGCATCCCCAAGAGGGACAACCCCAGAGTGCAGCCGGCGTGGAAGGGACTCCGGCTCCTGGTGGAGGACCTGGGCCCAGTAAGGCATGGGTCGGAGGGGAGCAGTCTGCTGCTGTCCTTCTCTGCCCAGGACAACCCAGGGGAAATGAGCTTCCCGACACGGGAAGGTGAGAAGTTGGGGAGGTTCCCGGGACACGGAGGGCAGAGACGGGCTGACCCAGGGCTGCTCGGAGGGTAGGGCCCAGCGTGGCATCCCTGTTTGCAGTTGAGAGGACATGGGCAGGCCCCGGAGCCCCTTCTGCCCCTGGGGACCAAGGATCCGGGACTCATAAACCCTCCGGGCTGGCTTTCTTAACGGGTTCACGTGGGGATTTCTCAGGGCTCTGGTTAAAGCAGAGCTCCCTTCCCGAGAGCAAGCACAGCGGGATGCCCTGCAGCTGGGCCTGGGAGCTTCCAGAAAGGCTTTGACCCCAGACTGGAAAGGTGCGACCTGGGGCAGGGGCCCAGTGACGGGGTGTCAGGTGCTTGAGATAAACAACAGAGCCACTGCATCTGCTGCCCAGAGAGGTGACTGTCAGCCCAGGCGGTGAGAAGGAGCATGGGGAATTGGAACAATGAGGTGCAGCGCGGCGTGGTAGCGCACACCTGCCATCCGAGTACTGGGAGGCTGAGGCAGGAGGATCACCGTGAGTTTGAGGGTGGCCTGGGCTGAACATTTGAGGTCAGAGACACCCCACCCCGCCTAGGCAGTTCGCCCACCTTTGCTGCGTCTCGCCCGCCTTGACTCGGATGGTCTGCAGCGCCAGGCCCAGGCCCAGGCCGGAGGAGCGCGAGTGTCCGCCCCACGGCACGATGGCCTGCACTGTGTTCCAGACGCTGGTCCACACTGCGCTGCGCTCCCACTTGAGCTTGACCAGGACCAGCTCGCCCACGTCCAGCTCCAGGGTGACGAGGAAGGAGTAGGTTTTGTTACTGGCGATCTCCTCACTCCTGGAAGACACAAGGGGAAGCAGGCAGCGGCTTGGGTGACGGCAACAATGCTGTGGCCCACCCGGGATGTGTTAGGCTGCCTGAGGGACCCGGGTGTTCCACAGCCTAGTCACAGAGGCTGCAGTGAGGTCACTGGATGGGAAAGCTGGACAGAGTCTCTGCAAGGTAATCCGTATGTGTGCAGGCATGCACTGAGGCATGAAAAAGTGAAAGAAAGAAAAACTTAAAAAATAAGAAAGGGCTGGAGATATAAAATCTCTCTGAGTTGTGCCACTGGCGTGAATCTAGTGGCCGTTCTCATCTTGGCTGTTTCTCCCCAGCTCCTGGAAAGAGGCCCCTGGGAGGCTGCAGAAGGCTGTGGATTCAGGGTGCAGCGGGGGGTGAGGGTAGAGGGACCCCCAGATGAGCTGATGAAGGTGCTGGCCAGAGGCTGATGCGCGGCCTGCTAGGGGCCTCCCCACAGGCCAAAGGCCCTGCATCTCCGAGGTCTGTGGGCAGGGATCCCCGGAAACACCAGCTCCTGGGAAGCCGGGGAGCCTCAGGGTGAGAGGCGGCTGCCCATACCGTGCTTGGTGAGGGACAGGGCAGGCAGCCCGCTGGTGTGCTGGGCTTGCTGGGGGCTGGGGGCGGGGGAGCGCGTCAGGCTGTGGCTTCTAGAGCCTGTCCTCCTGTGGACATCAGGTCTCCCTCCGCCCTGCCAGCCTTCCCGCATGGCCCCTGTCTGTCACACACCCACGCCCGGCACACAGGCACACACGGACCCGGGGTTGCTGGATGTCCCCTCTGACCAGTGTCCCTGGCACTCACAGTGTGACGGGGACCCGCTGCACTTCCTCCTTGGTCCCAAGCAGCGACAGGGTGAAGGTGGGCTCCACTGGTCTCTCCAGGTGGCTGACGAACTGCATCCTGAACTGGTAATGATAGACTGGGCGGAGACAGACAGGGGAGCCCAGTGGGGCTTCTTCATTTAAAATGGGATGCGTTTTGAAATTTAAAATTTCAAGGGACCCCGAGCTTGTAGACCCAAAGCAAAAATGGGCATGTGAGGTGAACACATCTCAGACGAGGAAGAACAAACAGCAAATATGTGAAAAAGTGTTCAACATCACTGGTCATTCGAGAGATGAAAATTACAGCCACACTGAGATTCTGCCTCACCTCGTAAGAATGGCCGCCATCAAGAAATCAGCCACAACAGATGCCGGAGGGGCTGGGGGAGGGGGAAGGAACCCTTCTCTACAGCTGGCGGGAGTGCAGACTGGTGCCAGCACTGTGGAAGTCAGCGTGGGGAGTCCTCAAAAACTAGGCCATTTGGCCCAACTCCTGCCCTTCTTGGTAACTTCCCAAAAGAAAAGCACCCCACCGCGGTGACGTACGCACGGCCATGTTTGCAGCGGCGCAGTTTGTAATAGTCAGATCTTGGAAACAGCCCAGATGCCCATCAACTGGTGAGCGGGTGACGGTTTGGGTTTTTTATACAACAGAGTGCTGCTGCTCAGCCATAAAGAAGGACACTCTCCACATCTCCAGGTGAAATGGTGCGCCTTGCCGCCATGCTCTTACGTGAAATAAATCGGACATGTGTGTGTATGCGTGCGTGTGTGTGTGTGTGTGTGTGTGTAGTGAGAAACCAACAGTGTAAACTAAAGGACCTAAGTGTGGAACACGTATTGTGAGATAGGAACAAAATGCTCAAATGGGCAGGGGAACATGGTAGGGGGTGGGGGAAAGAAAGAAGGAAAAGTAAAAAATGAAGGAGGAAAGAAGGAAAGCATGGAAGCAGAGCTTTTGCAAATGAGGGGAGGAGGGGTGGAGGCGGGGGGGGGAGAGTCAAGGCACGTCACGAACAGGTGCGGACTGTGATGAGTATGATCGTTATGTATGTCTCCAATGTACCAATAACAGCTGATTGGGAAAAATAAACAAATAGCATCAAAAGAAAGATAATGCAGGAAAAAAGAAAAGATAATGCAGGGGAAGAGCTTGGATGGATGGACACCAAGGCCAACAACACCGTGCATGCAGTGGGGTGTGACTGCCTTCTATCTTCATTCCCCTCCTCTGTCTATCTGCAGTATCTGGAGGGGGCCCACCCTGTGTGTGTCCTACAGGAATGAGAAGGGCCGGGTGCAGCTCCGGCAGAGCGCTGGCTTGGCATCTGGAGGTCCTGGGCTCCAGAAGATGCTGCGGTGTGGCCTGCCTGCTACCTGCGGACCTCCCGGAGTAGGACACATATTTGGTAAGGTGGAAGCAGAGTGAGAGAGGCGCTTTCTGCAGTAGTCTGTCCGTAAGGCTGACTGGGGGTGCGCAGAGCCCCAGCTGAGCAGCACGGCCCAGCCCCCAGACCACGTCTCCAGGTGCCGGCAGTCCTGGGAGCCAGTGCTGGGTGGTGGAAGGAGCGCATTTCCTGATGGACACACAGCGGGCATTGTCTGGCCCTCGGGCTGGGCCCCGACAAGTCCTTCTACTGGGTCATTGAAGAGTGGCCAAGTGCGGTCTGCATTTAATTGTCAAAAACACAGAGCTTGCTGGGAGACAGGCATTGTGGGACGCTGCCCGCATTGCCCCTTTTGCTGGAAGTGCCCTGAGATGTCACCATCACCCCCACGGAATGAAGGGAAACACCTGGGCTCAGCTCGGGGCAGAGGCTTGCTGTTTAGTTAACCTTTTTCCTGTTGCTGAGTCCAAATAGCCCACACCGAGCATTAGAGGAGGAAAGGCTTTTTTAGCTCATGGTTCATAGGTTTCAGTCACCTGGCTCCACGGCAGGATGGTGGAGCAAAGAGCGATTACAGGGGAGAAACAGCTCATGGTGGGCAGAAGGCAGCAAGCAGCAGGCCTTCTTCCAGACCCTTGTATTCTATTCAGGTAGCCTTGGCGGGTAGCACTCACACCCAGAACCGGGCAGCCTTCGTCCTAGCCTCGCCCCTCAAATCAATCCCAGCAGCACAGCCTTAGTCTTGTGATCACACGTGTTAGATGCGGTCACCTCTGAAAAGCCCCAGCTTCGAGCACACCAGGCTTTGGGGGGCATCTAGACACGAGCCACAATACTCGCCAAGGCCCCCAGGGCCGAGGCTGCCCTCTCCGCAGCCCGGCCGGAGAGCTACACTGCCTCTACTTCATCGCAGCCAGCTCTCTGCTTGACTTCCCTCTCGCTGTTTGGCACGATGTATCCCACGTGCCAACACTGACAGGGCAGCTGCCCAGAGCCCTGCTTCACATGGGCTCTGGGACCACACCTGGATCTTGGGAAGATCTGCCTTGGGCCGAGAATGGATTTCTGCTTTGCCTGTGTTGGCTGTGGAATAAGCTGGTAGTTTGCTTGGAGATGATGTGATGGGATTGGGACCAACATCTGTTGAGGTGGGAGGCACTTCTGAGGACTTGAGTCCAAGGTACTGTGGGGAGTCCTGCTGGAAAGCTTGGAGGGTACCCAGTGCTTGCCCCTGCCCCACATGTGGAAATCCCATCTCGCCAGCCAGCCTCCTGCCCCAGCTTCTGTCCTGCGCGCCTGCAACTCACGTGAGACTCGCTCTGCCCTATCCTGTGTGTGGCCCTGCTGGGCTTCCAGACTGTAGCTAGCGGTGGCCTGCCCCTGTGTCTGCAGACACTGCCTCTGCAGACGCCTCGCGGGGCCACAGCAGCACGTGCTGGCTTCCGCTGGCCCCAAGTAGCAAACACTGCACCTTGATTTCCAGGCTGTCATCACCCTGGCCAAGAGCCCTGCGCCAGCAGCTGCTCAGATCTTCCAGGCTGGAGAAAGTAGTTCAGTGCCCCAGGACTCACAAGAGGCCCGGCAGGGAGCCAGGGGAGGGCTGAGGACCCGTATCCCAGGAAGGGTCCCCAGACCTGGGGCACCCTTGGGTGGCCACAGCAGGGAAAGGGAACTGGGTCTGTCATCCCAGGGCCACTGCAGAGGTATCACACTGGGGGTTGACAAGGAAGAGTTGGGGCCTGGAACAGGGTTATAAAGACACAGGGTGCAGGCGTGGGTGGCAAGGTGGGAGATGGTGCTGGGAGGTAGGGGCTGCACATTTTCACTTTTTCCTTAAGGTCTAGGAAGCTGTTGGTCCAAAATATAAACCCTAAAGCCAGGATTGCAGAGCCAGGCTGCTGGGCTTACGGCCCAGAGAGCATCAGGAAGTCACCCCACTTCTCGGTGCACCCACATCCAGCCCAGCCCAGTGTCGTGTGTACTACCTGGTGTCTATTGTGTGCTCCGCCAGGGTTGCTGGGACAGACAAGTGAAGCCATGGAGTGCACCGTGCGGGACAATCACAGGGACTGAGGGCCACCTGCCGATCGCTGCCAGGCACCTCTGTGCCCTTCGTTCTCCATAGGTGCCCAGTGTCTGTGTGACACTGTGTTACCTCAAGGTAGAGGTGAGGTAATGGAGCACTGAGAAGTGGGGTGACTTCCTGATGCTCTCTGGGCCGTAAGCCCAGCAGCCTGGCTCTGCAATCCTGGCTTTTAGGGTTTATATTTGGGACCAACAGCTTCCTAGACCTTAAGGAAAAAGTGAAAATGTGCAAAGAATTTTAATTTAAAGATGCCATTGCAGGCCAGGCATGGTGTCCCAGGCCTGTGACCGGAGGCACTCAAAGGCTGAGGCAGGAGGATTGCTGTGAGCTTTGAGACCAGCCTGGCTACATAGTGAGTTCAAGTCCAGCTTGGATGGCCTAGCAAAACCCTATCTAAAAAACACCAAACAATTTTGCATTAACTTAATTCTTTTTTCTTTCTTTCTTTCTTTTTTTTTTGTAGTACCAGGGATCGAACTTGGGACCTTGTGTTTGCCAGGCAGGTGCTTATGCCACTGAGCTATATCCCTGGCCTTAATTTAATTTTCCCCCCTTTTTTTGGGGTACTGGGGATTGAACTTAGAACCTTGCACCTGCAAGGCAAGTGCTGTGCTGCTGAGCCAAGTCTCTGGCTCCTATTCAGTTAATTTTTTATAACAATTATTTATTTAAAAACAAATGAAAGACACCCTAAATATTTAGTAATAGAGGATGACTACAGGCCAGTAATGACAATTCCTGCTTCTCTTCTGTCCTTCGTTTTCATTTCCTTCCTGTGCTCTCCCTCGCCCTCTCCCTCCTCCTCCTCGAGGTAGCTCTCACAGTGTTGCCCAGGCTGGCCGTGACCCCTTTCCTTCCGGTGCTCCTCCTGTCTCAGCCTCCGAGTAGCGGGGACTACAGGCACGCCCCACCATGCCCCCGTAATCATTCTAACAGCTCCCATTGCATGCTTTGCTATGTCACAGGCACAGCTGTTCTGCATGACTGCCCTCATTTCTCTACAACTCTACAAACTTAAAAAAATTTTTCTTTTCAAACATTTTTCATCAAATGTATCCCCCCCCCCATGTTTTATGTATCTGGTACAGGGTCTCACTATGCAGCTGGGATTCATAGTGATGCTCCTGTTTTCAGCCTCCCCAGTGCTGGGATTATAGGCATGAGCCACCATGACTGGAGGCGGTCGCTGGCTCAGCACCCCCGGGGGGTGGGGATGGGGATAGGGTTGGGGTTGGGGCTGGGGCTGGGGCTGGGGGGTGGGACCGGCACGGCATGTGGGACCGGGGACCAAGCCCTGTCCGTGCACTTGCAAAGCAGGCGCTTAGTGCACTGAGCTATCTCACCGGTCCTCTATAAATTTTTGGAGATGCTCACACACTCCTCCCCACATTTTACCTAGAAGGAAGGCGGGCCCCTGCTGAGGCCTCCCACATCCGGCTCCCACCAGCCCCATCCCAGTCTGAGTCAGCCTGCTGAACCCAAATTCCGATTCCTGGCTGAGGGATATACTCTTGGGAAGCCACCAAAAGGTACTTTTGGAGCGGGTCTGACTTTCACGAGTGAAGTGAGAACGAAGCAAGACCCCAGTAGAATCCGAGGTTGCGTTTCCAGTGTGAGGCCCCTTCTACAAAGCAGAACGCGGAGAGGGCAATTCAGAGAAACACCCACGGCACTTAGCTCTGGGGAGCAGAGAGGCAATTTCGTTCTCTTCCTCACGCTTTCTGTGTTTTCTTCATACGGAAGAAGTTTAATTAGAGTGGAAAAAGGAAACGCTTTCAAAGCAAACACAATGGGAGGGAGCGCAAGCCGCTGTGCCTGTGATGGGAGTCAGGCCGCGCACTCGTGGGACCTCTTACCCTCTGCTTAGTCTCCCGCGCATGCATGTCCACTGTGATACCTGACAGTGGCCGTGGGGTCACGTGGATGGCTCGCATCCCCGCAAGGCCCCGGGCTCGCTGGGCACTCAAGGGGAGTGGATGGCGCTCTGTGTGGAGGCCCTCAGAGGACCCGTGCTGCAGCACAGACCCCGTGAGCAGGAGGCCCGGAGGCCACCGTGGCCTGCCACAATCTGACTGTAGCAGATTAAACGCTAAGCTGACTCTGTGCTTCTCAGCAGGCCAGGCCCCGGGCCTGCTTGCTGGTGGGCCCTGCAGAGGCCCAGCAGCGCGTCAGGGCGCCGGGCAGAAGCATGGTGCTCACCGAGCGGTGGCGCTGCCCCGACCAGCAGTAGCACCTCACCCACTCCCAGCTTTGCTCTCCCGGGCCTGTCACTTCCTTGCTTTCCCGTCCAGCCGTTAGGTCTGGGGTGCAGCCACAGTCCTGCGGGGTTCTGTACTCCACCGCCTCTGCAAGAAGCACCCCACTCCTCTCTTTCCCCTGGGTGCTGCTTTCTGTGGAAACCAGGACTGTTCCTGACAATTGGGAGGCTTGGAGAGCCCAGGTTACCTCGCTGGTTAGCAGGGGGACAGAATTCGAGCCCAGGTGTCAGAGAAGCGGATCCCTGTATTCTGAGGGAAGGCACCCCTTTGGAGCCTGGGGATCAGCCCTCATGATCTCCAAGGTCCCACAGAGTGCTGCCTGTCCCCTGCAGGGTCCCAGGCAGGAGGTCACCGTGAAGGTCTGTGTTGCAAGGAGCGTGACCAGGGGTTATGGTGGCAGTGACAGATTGCTACTGTGAGTGGTTGAGCTCATGTCACCACATGACATGGTTAGTGAGGATACTGAAATGCTGTGGGAAAGGCTTGCAGCCTGTGACACAGAGGCAGTGGCCACGGGCCAGGCCTGGCGGGAGAAATCCTGCCCTGACGGAGGGCAGCAGGAGCATACCCGCACCCTGAGCACTGGAGCAGGTCCCAAATGGGAAAACCCCGACTCTGACCTATGGGTTCTGCCAGCACCTTTTCATAAATGAGAAATTAGCTTTCTTTTTACACAGCACACTGCGAACGCTGGGTCATGGAACTTATAAAGAGGGAATGCTGTGTTTCTTGTTTTCTCAAAGGAAAGAGGGCTCAGCTTTGGTGGATTTGGGCCCCGGGAGCTCCTCTGATGGCTCTGAGTCCCCTCGGTGGAGGGGCTGCTGGTTGGGACTACAGGGCGGAGCGCTCGAGTCTTCTGCAGGTGCCTCGGTCTCAGTGTCAGTGTGAAACTCCTCGAAGGCAGAGACCCTGGAAGTGTGGGACCCACAGCTGTGGGTCCCCATTAAAGCTGCTGGATGCAGTGGCAAGGGGGACAGGGGCTTATGAACCCCTGTCTGTGCACACACGCCTTTTCCGTCCATCATGTGGGACTGTAACATCAGGCCTTGCTTGTCCCTGACGTCACCAGAGGGGCGCTCTTCCCAGCTGCCCCCATAGAGACAGAGGAGGCAATGAGCCCGGCAGGCAGAGCTCTCTGCCTCCAGCCTCTGGCCAGGTGTGAATGTGCGCTCTCAGGGCTGCGAGGCCCTGTGTTCAGGAGTCTGCACACCTCATGCTGTTGCTGAGGCTCATGTTGGTTCTCTCACCCCTGCAGGTCACAGGCTAAGAACCCCTTCCCACGGCCTGTGTTCTCTACTGGAGCTGGGTCAGGGCAAACCTTCCAGGGATGTAGAGGGCTGTCCCCTCACCCCCTAGGGTGACAAAGGTGCTGGCCATTGGAGCCTAAGGCAGCACAGGCGAGAGGGTGGGGCATGCTTTGTGTGGCGCCCTGGGGGCTCAGGTGCACCACCACTGCAGAGCCCAGAGCTGGGCAGAGGAGAAGCTTCCTTTTTGCCCAGCTGGGGAGGACCTTTAGCCTCTCCATCTCTGTCCCCTCAGCAGCTGCATGGAGGGATGAGAACCGACCTGTTGTGGGGCCCACCCGCCACAGAGCACCCCGTGGGGACAGGACCCAGCCTCTGCTCGGAGGCTGGCATGGTCCCAGCTTGCTCTAAGCAGGACGTGGGGTGTGGTCCCAGCTCGCCCTGAGCAGGACATGGCTCCCTCCCCTGCCTTTCCTTCCCAAGAGCTCCGAGAGGCTGAGCCAAAAGTGGGCATCTGAGCCAGAAGTGGGCATCTGAGCCAGATGTGGGCCCCCAGGCCTGAAGTGGGCATGCCAGCCAGAAGAGGCGTCCAGCATGACTGAGAAGCTGGATTTGTCTTTCATTTTTCACTTGCAGCATTTAAATGTTATTTATTTATTTAGTGTATATTTGGTATAGGATCTCACCATGCAGATCGGACTCAGCATGCCCTGGGGAGGGGCCAGTACAGCAAGTGGTGCCGGGGATTGAACCCCGGTCCCTGCACTTGCCTAAGCAGGCGCTTAGTCCCCTGAGCTATCTCGCTGGTCCTAGCATTTAAATTGAGATCTGAATGGCTGCCAGGGAATGACTACCCTGTACCCAGCTCCTCTTCTGAATAACAGTGTCACCAGCAGATTGAGCTCGCTGACAATCACGCTCATTGACCCCTTCCAAATTCCCTTGCTGCGCTGGAGGCTACCCTGATAACCCTCCTGGACAGGTGGGGGGGTATCCAGGAGGCAAGTAAATGGGGAGGGGATGGACCAGCCCTTGTGCCAGCTGTTTCCCTGATGTCTTTGTGCCTGTCAGCTGTCTGTGCAGCCGCTGTCGCTTGCTCTTGGGTCTGTGCAGCTCACACTGGGGACCCCGGCTGCTCACTGGGTTCAGACAAGTAAGGTCTCCTGAGAGTTAGTTCCAGGCCCCCTCGCTGGCTGGTTGGTGCCCACCAGTCCTGCTTCCTCCTCTATAAAACCAGGGAGTGGCCAGCCCTGCCCCCTTCACTATGCCGGGCATTAGAGGGGCTATAAGGTGTATCAGACGCCAGTGAGCTTAGAGGGTGCTGACGGCCGGGTCCCTGCTCCCCAGACCTGAGTCCATAGGGTCCTTAGAGCATGACTCAGTGGCAGAGTCCTCCAAGCTCTGCCCATGCGGGGCTGCAGGGAAAGCTAAGACTGGAAATCGCCCAGCTGTTTAGAGGGCTGAGTAGATGTGTTCATGGCCATGGGTGTCACCCAGTTCCCCCAGGGGGATTTAGGCCGCCACCGGTGTCCCCGCCAGCCTCTGCCCAGGATGTGGCCGAAGCCCCTTCAGCACAGTGCAATGGGTTCGATATCAGCCTAAGCCTCAGGGTCTGGCTGGGACCTCTGTGACAGGGACATCCTGCCAGGTCAGGAGTCAGAGATGCACATGTGGTTGGGAGCCCTGTGCTCTGGGGGGCCCAGCTCAGATGGAGAACTGGGCTCTGGTCTGCATGTAGAGGATATCCAGGTCACCGGACCATGTCATCAGGGTGGTCCAGGCCACTATGGGGACCTTCTGCATCCGATGTTCTAGGGGCCATGGCAATGGACACAGAGGCAACCCACGGGCTGTTCTGGAAGTGGCCAAGGCTTCTCCTTCTGGTCCTTGGCCTTGGGGCTGCCCATTGCTGGGACAAGAAGGTTGGCACTACGGCTGCAGAGGTCCTGCAGTGCCGAAACCCCGGACGACCATGGAGGGCCACGCGGCACTCACCTCGGAAGGGGGCCTGGGCACGGGTCAGCAGGAAGAGTTTCTTGCTCTTGCCCCGCGGCTGCCGGCGCGCGTGGTAGCCCAGGGAGCTGCAGCGGCCCTTCCTGCAGTCCAGGCACAGGCCCCGGCTGAAGCTGGCCATGCCGCTGCACTGGTAGCCGGTGCTCTGTGCGTCCTCATGCAGCAGGGAGTCGATGAGGAGGTGCACGGCCCGCTCGTGGGCGCACTTTATGGTCTGGGGAATGGCTGGAGCACAGGGCGAGGGCAGCGTCACGCCGGTGCCTGCAGCCTCAGCTCCGAGGCCACCTGGCTCTCAGCCCCCGGAGGGTTAGCTGTGGCACGTGGGGCAGGTGGGCTCGCTAAGGCTCACCACGGATGGAAAGCTGACGTGGGCCTCCCTCCGGGCTGCCCCGCCTCCAGGCAAGGCCCTCGGCACTGCGGGCTTTGGGGACCCTGGGGACAGCATGGTACGACAGGTGTCTCCACAGGGGTCCACTCCACTGGGCGGAGGTCGGATTAGTTAAGAGAGTAGGGGAGTAAGATCAAGATGGGGCCATTTCATGAGTGGCTGGGGCGGGCCTGGTGCTGAGGGGGGAGGGTGAGCTGGTGGGCAGGGACTGCGTGGGCTACAGCTTGTCTTCTCTCTTCTTTTTGCAGCAGAGGGTATGGAATGCAGGGACACGCTGCCACTGAGCTGCAGCTCCAGCCCTTACGTTTTTATTCTGAGACAGGGGCTCACTTAAATTGCCAAGATGAGGCTTGAACTTGGGATCCTCCTGCCTCAGTGGTCCAGAGTGTTGGGATTGCAAGCGTGCACCACCACGTCTGGGTAATTTTCTTAAGAAAGCCAGGCCAGCGAGCTGCTCCCGCAGCATGGTGGTGGCCTGCCGCAGCCTGGGACTTCTCCCACAGCGCTTCCTGGGTCCCACTTGGCCATCGCACCCCTCAGGCCTGGGGCTGGATTCAGGAGGACACCGGGCAAGGAGCTTCCCAGGTCTATCTCTCGTGACTTTTGCCCTTTGTTTCTAGGGTCCTCCTGTCCCTGGCCCACAGGCCCTTGAAGACAGTCACTGACTCGAGCTCACCCAGCCAGGAGGGGGTGGGCAGGAAGTGGTCATCAGGTCAGGTGTGACTGGGAGAACTGCTTCAGGGTGGGGACTCTCAAACACCAGTCTGAGAAAAATGGGGACTCCCCCCAACACCAGAAACTGGGGCCAGCTGAATGCACAAATTGGGGTGTGCCACTTTGCTTTCTGGTTTTTTTTTTCTTTTTTTCTTTTTGAGACAGCATCTTGCTATGCAGTTCAGGCTGGCCTTGAGCTCACTTTGTAGCCCAGGCTGGCTTCAAACTCACAATGATCCTCCTGCCTCAGCCTCCGGAGTGCTGGCATTACGGGTGTGTACCGCCACACCTGCCTGGAGGGTTGTATCACGTTGAAGTTTTGGAATTGGCAGGCAGAAGGTGGGGAGCCAGGAGGGGTACTGGCAGGGGATGAAAGAAAGTGGTGAGGGTGTCCCTAGCAGGCTGTGGGGCTAGGGCAGAGGGTGGGACTGCAGCCAGATTGAAGGGGGGGGGACACTGGTGTAGTGAGGTCACTCTGGTATTGAGGGTGGGGTGGTGATGTTGCCCCCGAGCACTGTGGGACGTGGGGTGTGGCTGCTCCTGGCCTGGCCTGTTCTCCAGTGAAGCAACACCTGTGGGTGGCCCGGGAGCCCCGGCTGCTGCTGTTTGTCCCCAGCCCTGGGTGTCCCTTAGGCCTGCGTATTACTGTTCAGGACTTGGGGATTTGGGGGGATTGTGACCGGCCCTGTTCGAGCAGATCTGCATGTGGCTCAGCATAGAGCAGCTTCTAAGCCAAACCTTTAGAGAAGAGAGCAGACCTCTGCTTGTCCCAAGGAGTGGCCCACTGGGGACCACCAGCCTGGCCCCACTAGTGGGCTTGGGGACCACCCCCGCATCCCCGCTTCCCTGGGATCCCCTCACCGTTCAAGCCGTGCTGCGCCAGGTGCTTGTAGAGCTCCAGGAAGTGGCAGCCCGGCTGGAAGCTGCCCCCGTTGGGGTAGAAGTCGTCGTGTGCCACGGGCTGCTTGATGCCCACGCTGAGGCCCATGTGCTCCCGGGTGAAGGTGTGGATGGCGTCGACGAAAGCCGCGTCGTCCGGAGAGAGGCGTTCGCTGGGGGACGTGCCCTCGAAGAGCGGGCCGGCAGCGTCCAGCCCTAGCGGAAAGGCCAGGCACAGTGAGGCAGGGCGGGGCGGCCGCGCAGGGAGCTGAGGCGTTGGCCGCGGTGACACCTTTCTGAGTGGCTGCGGAGGCGGGACGCAGGCCTTGTCTCTGGAGAACCTGGCCGTGGCCTTTCCACAGTAAAATCACAGCACTGCGCGGTGCTGAAAGCGAACCCGGCTGGGAGGAACCAGCCGGTCCCGGAGGGGAAGAGGCCGTGGAGCTGATGTAGCGGCGCAGAGAAGGTTATGGAGAGCGCCTGATTCACTTAAACACATCACTGCTAAGTGCCCCTCACACTCCTGTCTGCTGGCCTAAGAGCCCGCTGTGCTCGAGGTCCACAGTTCTAACCTCCCTGGCAAAGAGTTTCTTTGCTGCCGCCTTCTCCGCAATTGCCCCAAGCATGCTGGCTTTGCTGCGGCACTAAGGTCATTTCACCGGGCTGTGCAGGGTGGCCACGGCTCCGGGGCAGGATGCAGTGGGCACGCAGAGATGCTAGAGGCCACCCTGGTGGCCGGGGGTGGGGGGCACCTGAAGGTTAGAGCCCTGGCCCGCCACTCCACTGGCCCAGAGATGAAGAGAAGGAAGATGAGGAGTGGTATGCGTTTGGCTCCAGCTTGCCACTGTCCTGTTCTTCTTTGTGACACATACTAATTATATTCCTCATGGGGAATGGGCACATACCCTGTATTTCTTCCCAAATAAGACCTAATCAGAAAATAACCCCTAGTGAGATGGTTCAGGATGCGTCTAATATAAGCCCCGCCGCAAGATAAGCCGGGGTTGAGATCCTGAATCAGATGGGTGCATCTAGGATATCCCTTGCGACTCGGGACTGGTGTATTGAATTCTAAAATAATGCTAATATAGAATTCAACATAATACATAATATTACTGACTTCAATACTTAAAATAAGTGATAACATAAATTATAGCTAAGCGTTAGTAGATACCCAGCGCTCGCCTTTGGCCTAATGGCCCTGGGGACGCAGACAGCGCAAGCCCAGCATTCGCGGTTGGGAAGGAGCGGTGTGGCTGCGCCGGGAGCGCAGGTGCGCTGTGAGCAGGCGGCACGGACTGGAGGTACGTGTGTGAGGACAGCGTTGTCGCTGGGCATGAGGGATGGGGTCCGGGTTCCTTGGGAGATGGAGCTGCAGGCAACTCAGGCCCGGATGAGGGTGTGCCGAGCTAGGACGCAGCCAAGAACGGCGGCTGACCGAATAAGTGCCGGCTATTGTGAATGGAAAAATAAGGCAGCTTGAAAATAAGCTCTAGGACTGGGAGATAGCTCAGTGGCCTAAGCGCCTGCCTGGCGGGTGCAAGGACCCGGGTTCTGTCCTTGGTACTGCACGCCGTGCTGGTCTGCACTGAGCCAGCCACTGAAATTGGGCGTGGTGGCGCATGCCTGTAATCTCAGCACTGGGGAGGCTGAGACAGGAGGATCACTACAAGTCTGAGCTGCATAGCAAACCCTGTACTAAATAAATAAATAAATAAATAAATAAATAAATAAATCTTTTAAAAAAGGAAAGAAAATAAGCTCTCGTCCATCTTTTGGAGCAAAAATTAATATGTGTTCTTATTTTCAGGGAAATATGGTACATATCTCATGTTGATCTCATGTTGATCTCATGTTCAGTATCTTTTTTTTTTTTTTTTATAGTACTGGGGATCAAGCTCAGGACTTTGCACTTGCCAGGTAGGTGCTTATGCTGCTGAGCTATATCCCTGGCCCTAAACATCTTTTTTCAAAGTTTAGGATGGTAATAGAAGATAACAAGTTTTTTAAAAATGCTCTTACTTAATTCATTATCTTGTATAATTTTTATACTAGGATTTTTTTTTTTTTTTTTTTGAGACAGTCTCTTGCTACACAGTTCTGGCTGGTCTTGAGCTTACTTTGCAGCCCAGGATAGTCTTGAACTCACGAAGATCCTCCTGCCTCAGCCTCCTAAGTTCTGGGATCACAGGCATGTACCACTATGCCCGGCCCTATAATTAAAAAAAAGTTCTTCCTTGTTGGGAAAGTCACTACAGCTCTGCATTTTGTCTTAAATGTTCTTTGTTATAGTCTTCTGGGTCTTGAAGGATGAATAGGAGTTTGGTAGGTAGGCTAGGGCTGGGTAGATAGGTTGTGGGCAAGGGATGCTGGTTGCAAAAGCCCCAAGACACAGGAGGTAGCAGTGTGTTTGTAGAGTGGAGGAAACTCTTGTGCTTTTGAAGTCTAGAGTTGCAGGAAGGGGCTGGTGGGAGAAATTGGAGCATTTGACTGGGAGGCCGGGCAGCAGCTGCAGGCCTCGGTGGGCCCCAGGGGCTTCGCAGGTGGGGGCAGCTTGGGGCCAGTTGTACGGGGGGGGGGGTGAAGGGTCTCTCTGGGCAGGGGCTGCCCGGGGCTTGTCCCTCGAGGTGGGCCAGCACTATCACGGCTGGGGCTCCCTCCCTGGGTCGCTCGCTTGGGTTTGCCCCTTTCTAAAGTATAGATCAGAAATTTGCCTTCGTGCTGCGGAGCTGCACCGCGGTACACTGAGTGGTCGGTGCTGTTGGCCCACCCCTGCAAGGAAGGGCCGGGAGCGAGGCCACATTTGGTGACTCTTGCTCTGGGGTCTGCTGGTGTGGTGGCAGCTGGGGCAGCTCGAAGAGGTCACTGGAAGGGCCGGGCGTCACCAGCGTGGTTACCTGTGATCCTCCCGAGCTTGTGCCTCCCGCCGATGAGGCTGCCTGCGAAGCCTGCCACGTGGGCGCCCAGGCTGTACCCGATCAGGTGGACGTTGCTCGGGGACAGGTGCGCAGATTCCTGGAGACAGCGAGGCAGGGTGGGGAGGCGTCTGGTGGGCTCTACCCCCGCCCCAGGGGGCCTCTGTCCTCTGGGAGGGGGGCAGGCTTGGGGGCTCCCAGACCTTTGTGCCTGTGGCACTGACACCTGCAGACGGTCGGCTCTCCCGTGTGGCCTCCGTGTGTGAGGGGTCCTGGGACCCCCTGTGGTGCCCTCAACCTGCGCCACCCCCCTTTGGGGGAAGGGGGGGCGTGGCTTACCTCCATCCAGCGCAGCAGTGCAGCCACCTCCTGGCCCACGAGGCGCGCATTGCGCACGGCCACTGCGTAGTGCCGGTGGGCCAGGGCCAGCCAGTCCACCAGCGCCACGTTCACTGGCTGGGTCCCCAGTGCGGCTGCCAGCTGATGTACCCAGTTCTCCAGGGTGCCATCCACCTGCAGTTTGGGATGCCAGATGGGCTCAGGCTCTGCCAGGCTCCCCACCGACCAAGAGTCATGGCCTTGGGGGCTGGGGAGATGGCTCAGTGGAATAAGCGCTTCCCTGGCAAGCGCAAAGCCTGAGTTCAATCCCCAGTTCCAGAAAAAAAAAAAAAAAAAAAAAGAGCCATGGCCTAACCTCACCCTGCACCAAGCTGCATGAGCCGTGGCAAAGGGAAAGTCTACAGCGTGGGCCCCAGGCGGCCCTGCTGTCTCCCACATGGCCTCTGAGAGGAGTCCTGGGGGCCCTGGCAGCCCTGCATCCCAGGGCACAGAGTTGGAGGAAGAGTCCCAGCTCAGAAAGAGGATGAGGGTGGACGGAAGAGTGTGGCCTGGGTGGAGAGGGGTCCAGCAGGAAGGGGCAGAGTCATGGCAGGGCAGGCCTCCTGGGTGGGCCTGGGAGAAGAGACTGCAGAGGAGAGGCTGGGACTCGGTCCTGACCCCCTGCCGTCTTCCCATTTGTCGCATGTCCACCAGGTGCTTTTGGGTACAAGTAACATCTGGCCTCCAAATTATAAGGTGCTACCTGGAATACAGATGTGACAGCTGGCTCCCTAGCAGCTGTTTGGGACTATGAAGATGAGGCTGAAAGGACCCGAGACCCTGGGGAATTTGTTGACCAGAGCTGTCTGGTCAGCGCTGCCTTAGGTATCTGGAGTACTGGGTGGCGTGCAAACAAACCTCTGTTTCGTGTGAACCACTGTTAATCTTATTTGCAGCTGGCTTCAAGCCTCACCGAAAGGACCTCCCTGGGAGTCCTCCTTTCCAGTTTCCCAGCCCTCCTCGAGGCCTGCCAGCATCCGCAGGAGCCTCCCTCCCGGCGGGTGGACTGTGTCCCTCCTGACCTCCTTGCCTTCTCCCTGCCCTGTTTACAGTGGCGCTGGGACAGCCACAGCGCTGACAGCAGCCCTGGGAGAGGGAGCAGGGCACGCTAGACACCCAGGCACACGACGCTATCCCTAGCTCCGGCTCCTCAGTGTGATGCACCCAGGAAGGGGAAGGCGTGTGAAGGCAGGGCAGGAGGAGGGCCTAGCCTGCTTACCGACCACCCATGCACAATGAGCACCAGCGGGCGGGAGGCGTTGAAGCCGCACTTCTGCAGTGAGTTGGGCCGGTGGGGTCCTATCTCACAGCCTGGGCTGTCCTCGTCCAGGAGGAGCAGGAAAGTGGTCTCCATCTTCTGCAGGACTTTCTTTGTTTCCACGACTTGTGGTCTCCCCAACGGCTCTGCATTGTAAGACCAGGGGGCAGCACTGGGCCTGGTATCCATCCCAGCTCTGACAGCCCTGGGGCCACCAAGGGGCTGCGAAGGGCACAGCCAGAAAGGAGCAGCCAGGAACACAGGGTGACTGGGAAGGACACCGTCCCTCTGTCCTGCCACCCCAGGGACTGGCCAGTCAGGCCCAGGAGGGTGATCAGGGTGTGAGGCAGGTAGGCGGGGCACACCCCACCCAACCATACTGACACTGAGAGGTGGAGCCAGGATTCGAACCCAGACCTTTCTCCTGATGCTAGGGAGAGAGCAGGTGGAGCCTCTCAGTGAGGCGATGTTCTCCCTGCAGGGACACAGGCTGGGGTTGTGTGGCGTCGGGTGATGGATTCTGCTGGGCCCAGGGGCTTTTCAGGGAGCAGCGCTTACCCCAGGTGGGGAGCTCTGCTTGTGCAACTAGGGGCGCGCTGCGTCCAGGATCGCCATGGGGACCCACTGCAGCTCGGTCATGGCTGTGCGCAGGGGGAGATGGGGACAGGCCAGGCAGCCTGGGAGGGCTCAGGGCTCTGGGTGGCTGCTGGCTACTCAGGAGCTCTGCAGTGAGAAGAACCTGAGATTTCCCTCTCGGAAAGCTCCGGAGACCGAGGGGAGGCGGTGGCAGGCAGCCTCTACCACATCATGCCTGTTCTGTTGAAGCGCTTCTGTGGTGGGGTGGGCAGTGGCTGAGTGCTGGGCCACCCGTGGTTGGCCAAGGATGGGATGCCTGAGTGAGAGTGCGGGTCAAGGCGGTGACATCCCTTCCTCAGATGTGGAGCTTGGAGGCTTCACCTCCCTCAGCAGCCCGAGGAAGGCCACGCCGACAGTCTGGTCAGTGACTCCCTGCTGCCCGAATTCTACAGGCCCTGAGCATTGTTCTGAGTGCAAATCACCCAGGCTTCTCTTATGGCAAGTCCTGGGCTTTTGGTTCTGGGAGACAGACGGCAGGGCCTCGAGGTGCTGGCCCACAGGGAAAGAGGGCAGATTAATGAAACCAGCTTTCCTACCCAAAGGTTGCTTGCTCCAGGGGCTGTGCTTCCTGCAGCGGGCAATGATTTTTCACAATGAGGACAGAGTGACTCTGTGTGTCGTTCAAAGGTGGTGAGAGCGAGAGTCTGAGCAGCCCCGTGGAGGAATGCAGACCATTTCTGCTGCCCGGAGGCTTTCGAACGCCCGTCACCGCTGAGATGGTCCTCATCCCTGGAAGCCAGCCCTGCCTCACTTCCTATTCTTTGGGGTGCCGCTCTCCTGGATTTGGGTGTCAGAAGCCAGTCTCAGCTTGCACTTGGGGGCTCCTGTCCCAGCCAGTGCGAAGCCCGGTGTTCCTACACGCCCCTGGGATCCAGCGCACGCCCCTGCACACGCACTGTCTTGTGTTTGCCACTTCCTGATCCCCTCTTTGGGTTTTTCCACCCTTGCGCATAGCTGCTTAAATGATCTTTCGGTACAGGAACCACGGATTCCCTGCGACTCCAGGCTGCTCCGTCTTGCAGCGAAGGCCGCCACCTTATCCCACCTCCCCAGCCGCCCCGTTTCTTGCTAGCAGCGGCGCCCGCAAAGCCCTTGGCATCAACACCGAGTCTCCGCGCCCGGCTCTGCCGCGCTGCCCTGAGCTCCAACCCACTCACTCCGCGGGGCAGAGCCGGATGCCCTCCAGAAAGCCTGCGACTCTGCCTGGAGGAGGAGAGTACTGTCGCCCGCTGCCCCTGGGCGCGTGTCCCCGATCCTTGCACACTCAAATGGAAACTTGTTTGCCTAGCTGCGGGTTTCCTCCGCTGGGCCTTGACCGCGCAGAGTGCCGGCGCCTGCTCAGGGCTGGTGGCCTTCACGGGATGCCACCCCGCCGCCGCGTCCTGGCCCTGGGGTCGCTGCGCTCCCTCTCCTCCGCCTCTGCTCATTTCAAGGAGCTGTTTCAAATGCCAGGAGGACGCAGGAAAACCATATGGGGGTAACCGTAGTGCCTATCCTGGGGCTGTCACCAGGCCTAAGTAAGATTCCATAAAGTGCTTGCGACAGTGCCCGGCCCCAAAGAGCAGCCGGCAAGCTTCGCTGTGAGGTCCCGCGGAGCAGCTCGCAGCGGTGACCCGCGACCTCCTTTCTCTCTCTGACAATGCCCCGCTGCCCTGGCCGGGCTTGCTCTGCCCCGTGCGTCTGTACTTGGGATGGCTCTGAGCACGCGCCGTGGCCGGGTGCCTCCGGGCAGGTGGCGCAGCCCAGGCAACAGGGGGAGGAGCGCGGGACAGAAGGGCCACACAGGGCGGACCTCGCGCAGCCGGAAAGCGAACAGCGCGCAGGTGTGCGTGTCCTCCGACCCACCTCCCGCTCGGTGGGCGCGCAGTCTGTGCCCAGGCCAGGTCCCGGATGGAGGCAGCGGCCGGGTGCTGTTCCCAGGAGGCTCCAGCCCGCGGCTACCTTACGATGCAGGAGCTACCGAGAGGTGACCGGAGGCTCGGTCAGTCTAGGAAGAGGAACAGACTCTGGCAGCTCAGGTCAGGGAGAGATTCCAGGAGAACCCAGGCTCGGTGCCTGGAAAGTGAAGAGTGGCAGAGACCAAAGATGGGTCAAAGAGCGGCTGTGGCACTTGGTCTTCCCCGGCCCTGAGCCTGGGCTCCAGGGTGAGCAGGCGCTGTTGTCTTAAACAATATTCCTATCAAGCACGCAGAGGGGAGCTGTACACAGAGTTGATCAGCGTTTTAAGATCCCCAGTGGGCCAGGTGTGGTGGCACACACCCAGAATCCCAGTGCCCAGGACCCTGAGGCAGGAGGATCACTACAAGTTCAAGACCAGCCTGGGCTACAAAGTGCACTCAAGGCTAGTCTGAGCTGCCTAGTGAGACCCTGTCTGAAAAAGACAAAAATAAATAGAGATCCCTGGAGAGACAGCCATCACAGGGGTGAGCTTCAGTCACAGCATGGCCTCACACACACCTCCTCATACCTAGCAGTAGCCCCATGGCTGAGGGAGGTTGTTGTAAGGGGAGAGGAGGGGGACAGTCTGGAGCCCACGTGCCCGAGCCTCTGCAGGAGCACAGTGGTTGTCCCCTTCCTGGGACCTGCTGAACACTTGGGCTCCTCAGCCAGCCCACAACCACAAGGGCCCACGGCTGGGCCACACCCAGGCCTCCATAGCGGCCCCTCCCCAGGCCTCAGCTAGACACCTCACCAGCTCTGGTGCCCCTGTCCCCAGGGCCAAGTGGACCTCATTCTCACCATCTGCTTGCTTCTTCCTTCATCTCCTGGTGGGGATGGCTGTCCCAGCACCATACCTGCTGTCCTAGCACCACACCCGCAGCCTCAGCACCACACCTGCTGTCCCAACACCACACTCACTGTCCCAGCACCACACCCACTGTCCCAGCACCACACCCACAGCCCCAGCCCCAGCCCCACACCTGCTGTTCCAGCACCA